CCCTTTACATCAAAATGAATTATATGTATTAATCAGTGGTCCCAGCTGTTGTACACCACATACTAAATGATTTCACATAATTCAGTCCACATCATTAGTATTTAAAGACGTTAAATCCCAGAAAGAAAAATCAGCCAGCCCTAATTCTAAAAAAGAATTAATCTACCCTTAAAATTGAAACCATATAAAGTGACTTTTGTAGTTAGCTTTCTTTTATTTTCTTTTAGAATCGGCTCCACCATCTCTACTTACACAGTCAAGGGTTCATTTATTCTCCAAATGACATGGTAGGCTAACACTGCAAGGTAGCCTGCTGGATTCAATGACTCACCAAGAAGAAAAAAAAAACACTATAGAAACCTTATCAACTGAGAGCATATTTCAGTATGAAATATATGTATTTCACTAACTTTTGCTTTCTTGGCAAAGTTTTTTTTTTCTAAATATACATAATATGAGGTTTAACCAGTTAAAGCCAAAATGATTCACTTTCAGACACAATTCTTAGTGAAATCAATAAGACCAACATTCTGTTCTCATGGAAACCCTATGTATCTTACAAAGCTCTGTCACTATGAAGCCACAGTTCAACATTTCTGTGCTTAAAACAGCCATACTGGGGAACATTAATTAAGCTGTAAAACACAACACTTTGTCTTCTGTTCCAGCACTTTGATCATTGTGGAGAAAACACACAGTTTATAGATAAGAGAAATGATAAGAGAAGTATAAGAATGTTTCTTTATCACACACAAATCCGATTATTTTAACAATAAAAGGAGCATTACATTTTTAAGATTAACTTAAATTAAACTTTACAATAATTAAAGCATTTCCTGATCAGGTAATAAGTACAGTGGCATTCAAAAGTATTCACCTCCTTGTACTTTTTTACATTTTATTGTGTTACAATATGGAATCATGGAAGGCATTTATTTGGGATTTTTTCCCAATGATCAACACACAGTCAAAACAAAATTCTGCAGATCCTCCTTAATTATTAAAATAAAGAAGAATGTATCTGAGTGCAAGCAATCACCCACTTGAGTCAATATCTGGTTGAGGCACCTTTGGCCGAAATTATAGCCTTCTTGGATATATCTCTCCAAGCTCTATACATCCGGACACTGCCACTGTCACCCATTCTTCTTTGTAAAATTGATCAAGCTCTCTCAGGTTGGATGGGAACCTTTGTTGAACAGCAATTTTCAGCTCCTGCCACAGATTCTTAATTGGACTGAGGTCCAAGCTTTGACTACAGTAGGCCACTCCAGAACAATTACTTTTAATTTGAAAGTCACTCCACTGGGGTTTTGGCTGTATGTTTTGTGTCACTGTCCTGCTGGAAGATGAATCTTCTCCAAAGGCCCTTGCCGACCACAGCAGATTTTTTTGGGGTCCTAGGATTTCTCTGTGATTTGCTGCATCCATTTTGCCTTCACAAGTCTTCCAGGCCCCTGACAGAGTAAAGCACCACCATGCTTCAAGGTAGGCATGATACTCTCAAGATGAGCAGTGGTGTTACATTTGCAGTGGATATAGTACTTAACACTGAAGCCTAAAAGGTCAATTGTGGACCTTTCATACCAAAGAATCCTCTTCCCCTTGGACTCAAAGTCTCCCACAAGCCTTCTGGCAAACTGTAGTCAGGATCTGATGTGAGCTTTTTTATTCCCCCAACTATGGTTTTTGTTTTGACACTCTCAGATTCTCTCTCACTTGCAGCTGAGATTTGTGAATCACCTGGGCAATTGTTGTCATATGCACAATTTCTCCTGTTTCAGCTGTAGAAGACTGTAATTCCTTTAGAGACATTACAGAGCCTCTTTGTGGCCTCCCCGACAAGTGCCCTTCTCATCCAGCAACTCAGTTTTTGAGCATATCTAAAAACAAATGGTAGTGCCAGAACCTATTTTACTGTGTCATACCAAAGGGCATTAATACTAATGCAATCAGTAATTTTCTTTTTCATATTTATAAGGAATTTGGGAGGATCTGCAGAATTGTATTTTCACATTTACATTATAGAGTGTTTTCTATCAATCAATGGTAAATACTTTTGATAGCCACCGTAGGACATAGTAGCAAAACACCTGCATATAACTGTCACTGTAGAACAGTGCTAACACTGTAGAACAGCAAGGAGAGGACACATTGACACCAATGCAGATCCAACATGGAGGAACCAAGAAAAAAAAAACAGTTTAAGCAAGCTTTATGAAGACTAGCACAAGTGAATGATGTGTTTTCTTTCTAAATGTCAGTAAAAATAAACAGTCTAAAATTAGTGTAAGAAAAATAATTTAATCTCCTCCTAAATCAACAACCTGGATCTTAGTTTTGGTCAATAATCATTCAAATAAAGAAACAAGTCATGCAATGTGCAATACACCCTTAATTTAATGGACCAACAGAAGGGTAGCTGTATCCATTATTGCCAAATGTCCATTAAATCAAAAAATGATGTTTTTTCACACTATTATATGAGAAATATTGTTACAAATGGAGGGTTACTAAAATGGTAAAAATCAGGATTTGACCAAGCGATTTACTCAATAATTATTTATAACCCCCAACTTTTAAGTGACTTCTAGCAGTATACCAGAGCGGGTGGTATACAGTAATTAGAGGCATGTGAATTCTTTGTTCCCCGGCACAGCTTTGTTGAGAGGAGTAATAATCCAGGCACGCTTGGTTAAACAAATATTTATTACAATGACAAAACACAAACTACACTACACATATCATACATACACACAAAGCTACTTTATGTACAGTATTTACAAACAATGCGTTTCACAGGCCTAACATTCTGGTCACCCAGAAAACCCCAGAATGCACCAACCATTAAACTCTTAATGCCTACAGAGGCAACATAAGTGATGAGCTGCCTTCTAACTAAATGCAACCTGCAGTTAAATCGCTCTCTCTGCACCCCAGATGCCACAAAATAAATGGGAGCCTATATCCCTTTCCATAAAAATGCACCCTAAGCAGGAAAGACGTTTCTAACTGAGGGATCTTTTACCCAAGAAACCCAAGTTCCCTAAAAACACAGAATAGCACGCCCTCTCTAATAAGGTTCAAATACTTCTCTAGTCAAATTTGATTTGAATGACCACGAAGTAGGGGCTCTCACCCAAATCATCTGGACTCCTCTCTCTTCTCCTTGTTGCCTGCTTCTTGTTTCTTCCTTTTTTTCCTCTTCTCTTAAAGTGATCTTATATTGTGTGTGTCTGTACTGCTTCTTGACAATCATTAATCCAAAACTTACCTAGATATACTGAGGTAAACTTAACAATTGTTTTTGCTCAAGGGACCCCCTAGACTTTGAAGTTAGAAGTGTTTACTCTTCCCAGTGTCACAAGCTTTAGCTAAAATCTAAGAGACACTTCTCAGTCACCTAAAGCTATAACAATATATATACACTACATGCTTTCTGGATCTTTTAACATTTGTAATCAACACAGTCAATGACAACTGTTCCTGAGTCTTTTTTATCATAAACACACAAGATCATTATTTAATGTATCATAAATATATTATATAAAATGTTCCAGTCAGGGTTACTTCCATGATAATGACCACCTGACTTAGATTTCTTTACTAGAACTGTATGGCACAACTAATAGAAACTGGTGAGACTCTGACAAACACACTCCATCCATCCACACAATATTATTCCTGTTCAAACCTAATAAGTCCCATGAGGAAAAAATCAATGTACAGTATGTTCCTCCTACAGTACGCCCAATACCAATTGCCAGACCGTATGGGAAACCATCGATATTCAAGCTTTTGAGACCTATATTGTTTTTTTATATTTTAATCTACTTTATTGTGAGGAAAGTCCAGTTTTGATTTTTGATTTTATAAACAGAACTTCCCTGTAGCAGATTTTGTCCATTAAATCCAAAATCTGTAAAATCTGTAAAAGTCCATGAAACCATGTTTACTGTACCATTCTTTTGCAAAATAATATTCGTAAATTACAATTTAATTTAATATTTTATTAATATTTTGCTTTGTTAAAGCATGGTCTGATTTTGTAAAATAAATGGCAGGCCACAGTGCATTTTTTTTATCTATTGTGAAAACGGAGGTGGATCATCTGATGAAAAAAGCAAAGAAAATAAGAGAAGGCAGAAGAAAGAATAGGCAAAGTGAAGTTCAAAGTTATATTTCCTAACTCCAGAATACTTTCCAGGAAGCATAATTACTGTCCTTACAGGAGCAAGGTTATCTTCTCCTCTCCCAAAACCAGACTGTTCAAGATAAATTTTCCATATTGCTGTTAGTATTAGTGACAAGCTCTAAACGACAGCTATAAAGGAGCCAACATTGTTTATCTCTACTACATGTTGTGTCTGTGAGATATTAAGGTATTTCAATAAATATGGTAACAAGATTTTTCTCACAATTGAATGCACATTTTCCAAGTGGGATTTTCATAGATAAGAGAGTCATAATACCATCAACTGCTTTATCATGACCCCACAGGAGTGTACTACCTAGCCATGGTAACTCCAAATAACAGTTAAAAGATAGATAACTTTCTTATATGTGGTCAAACATTAAAAGGGTGCAGCATAATTCAAGTCTTGCACACAAAGACCATGACACTGTCTGAAATTCATTACCAACTTAGCAACAAACAGACTTTACGTCAGATCATGTAAAGAGATATGAGTAGTAGGTGCAGAACTAATGGTGTAATCAGGAAAGACAAGACATACAGAACTTGCTTCTGTGACATGACAGTGCAAGATCAACGATCTTTAAAATGGTACTTGATGCCACCATCAAAGAAAGAAAAGTGGTCAAATCAAAGTCTGAATCCTGAGAATCAACCTAAAAAAAAACCTTGGTTTAGGCAAAGGAGAGGACTTGAAGCATTTGTATCATAACTACAGTAAAGGAACGTCAGGCTTAGGCAAACATAAGGGCAGAAAATCTTTCAGAAGCAGTGGGAAGTTAAGAAACATAGAGCCTTTTCCCACCTTTACTCCTGCGCCGCCCCCTGTGCTGTTCTGTGTAGAACTTGAGCTGAGTTTCATCATCTGCCTCTGATCCAGAGTCTCCAGTGCGGCCAAACATTGTGCCACCTGCAGAGAGGAGGAGAAGGAGGGGGAGGGGGGTCAGAACACACTGTAGAAAATAGTGTCCAGAGAGACATTGTTACTTCTCTTTAATCCCCTTCTGAAGGTAATAACATCCACTCGAATTAAACAGATCCACCTTTGTAAAACTGAGCAGCACATAACACTGAAAAAATATTTTTCAATTCACTGTAAACAGTAAACAAAAACCAACAGATGTTGCAGAGAAGAGGTGAGATGCAAGCGGAGGAGAGAGGAGACATTCACAAACCCATTAGAGCTGGTAGGAGATGAGAAAATGAGCAAGTCTAAAAAAACGCTATATATGAACGTGTTCTAACAATGTTGGATAAAATGAAACATACCTCTTTTATTTAAAAACACATTTGATTAAATATACACTTTAGATCTGGATGCAATTTTGGGTGTAAGGAAAGTTACAGAATCTGGCCAATCTAAACACCAATTACTAAACCTGACACAAGTTAACTGTTTAAAAGTGCCCAAAAGGGTGGTGAATACATACAGTGGGTTTTAGACTTCTGAATAGGCACTGAACCCTGGACTGAGATGAGAAATGTTTTTTTAGGAAGCACCATGGCTTGATATGAGTCCAGCTCTCCATAGAAGAAGAAATTGGAAGCTCCACGGCTCCACTGACCACTCCATCTCTTTCACTTTGGTGTAGCTTTGTAGATAAAATCCTTCAGCAACAACCTTTTTAATGTGCCCTAACACCAAAGAAATAAAAGACTAGATGCTCTTTCAAGGACTTCACATATAGAACTCAATTGCATAAGAATACAGGATTTCAGATTTTATGAGTAACTAGTACCAAATATTGTTAAGCTTTTGAATGCAGAAACTGTTATTAAAATATGTATTGAATAATCACAAGCTGTTAAATGAATCTCAAACTTTAAAATTCTTTATAGCCATAAATGATATGCAAACATTCTCACTTTGAACCTCAGAATTAATTACTGCAAAGAACAAACAGTGCCATATGGATGGAATTTTAAAAGCCAGGAGTAGTTTTGAAGTTTTATTTTTTTAAAGCATGGTCATTCAGGATTATTGATTCCGTAGGTGCAAAGAGCTGTTTGCTTGATTAACTTGCCTGCCTGAAGCACTCTTCAAAGGAGCTTATAGAGCAAAGAACTTAAAAGGCACAGAGTACAACAAATCACAAAGCAATTACTAATCAGATTGCATGATGCCATTTATGAAAGCAAGCTGTTTGACAAATTTGCACAACTGAAGAACCAATGACAATTAAACGTATTGGTAAATATTGTGCACTGTATTCATATATGTTTGTTTTCTGAAGTTTTCTGTTAATTTTCTGCCTCCCATCAATCTTTCCTAAGACTCATCATTACATGATAGAAACAAACATATATATACACTATCAAGCAGCATTAGTAACCAAGACTGAAAATAGCTATGCATACTAATACTCATTCACACAGTTATCTCCTTTACAGCTCCTTCTATCACAAACATATAAAAAAACACTTCTTTTCACATATTTTCTTAGATATTGTCCTTTGCTCAGTGATGAACCTAACCACTGGGGTCTATTTTCATTGACAATCGTGATCCGTTCACAAATCATTGATAGATCCCTCACCTGAGTTACAGCCCTCAGAACATCAGCCCCATGAAGAATTTTCACACCCAGAGGCAAATTCCACTTGCCCTTCCCTTTTACCTTTAAAACCTTTTTCTCACCAAGGTCATCAATCAAAACCTCTCAATTTTACAACTTAAATGTTTCAACTTGAACTCTTCTTACAGACCCACAATAAATCTGGTATCAACAACCTTCTAACAGATACAACCGTCTTGTCAAAAGTTAATTTCACAGTATCCAGTCACCATCCATGTTAGGCACTTTTAGCTACAACCAAAATCAATGCATTTCCTGCATATACAGCATAAAGCCAACAGCACATATAGATCATAAATACAGTATAGTCCCTCTGGCCATTTCATGTTTTTTCAAAAAGTGGCATGCTTGTTCAGCAACCTGATTTCCTGCACTCGCTGTACTGTATTAACTGTAATTTATACAGGGAGATGACAGGCTGACAGCTACAGAAAACATACCACAGCAGAGAAGATAATTTCAATTGAATAGTTCCTCGATTTTAACTCTCCTCATCATGATTACGCTTATCTTTCTGCCTGGGTCCTATTAAATGAATACAAAGACTCAGAGAAAATATCAGAAAAATACAGAAACCAAATTTTATCCTTCAACCTGATTCATAGATTTCAACACAGCACTCGCTGGTTAGCTAAATCTCATTCTCAGATTATGCAGTGATGAGACCAACTTCAAAAACCAAGGCTTTCCCAATGTGGTTTTCTTTCTTTGGCGGGGGAGATCCTTCATACATCATTGACAAAGCGATTCTACGGGTGTTGCGGAGGCTCTGTGGCTAAGGATCTGCACCTGTGGCTGGAAGGCTTTCGGTTCGTATACCATGGCTAGAAGAGGAATCCTACTCCGTTGGGCCCCTGAGCTAGGTCCTTAACCCCAACTCCTCCAGGGGCACAGTATATGGCTGACCCTGCGCTCTGACCCCATGCTTCTCCCTGTCTGTGTGTCTGTGTGTCTCATGGAGAGCAAGTTGGGGTATGCATAAAGACAAATTCTTAATACAAGAAATTGTATATGGCCAATAAAGTGATTCCTCTCTCTCTATTTTGAGTTCAATCTTTAAAGTAACTGACAAGAGCATGTAATGTAATGGTAATGGTATAAAAAATGTAATGGTATTAATCAAAGTGTACAGGATAAATTCTGACCTGGCTATAATTCCATTGAAGTAATCACTCAGTTTTCTACCTGAACTGTTGTGTAGGGGCTGCCTGTGTGAAATCTCACCCAGGTGGGTATTACACTTCAGTGATGGATGAAGGGAGTTGCCTTATACTGTATATGTAAAGCATTTTGGGATCTTTTGAAATGAAAAGCACAATTTAAGTACAAGGTAATTCTATTTTTTAATCATTGATGTTGATGTTGGATTGACATTCTCGTATATACCATATATCAAACTCTATTGAGAATATAGCATTAAGAAGGTTCTGATTCTCAAAATCAGATAACAGCTGACTATACCAGATGACTGAATAGAAATACAAACTGTATATTCAGCCTTCTGGCTTAATGTTTTATTACAGGCTCCAGTATATTACTGTGATCTTTAAATGTCAAATTTCTAAAGGTTTTAAGAAACATCTTCACAACACTACTGTCAGGTAGATACAGTTTCAACTTTCCTAAAGCAGTAGGCAATGGATAGAGCTAGTGCTCCCATTGTGAAATCAATTTATCTAGAAAATAGATAATTTAAAGGGAGCAGGTGTGTCATAAAACAAATACATGGCTCTTAAAATGCTGAAACTGCATTTATAATCATTTTAAAAAGAAACATCAAAAGAGATTAACTGAAATACTGAATTGAAATAATTTCAGCCCCCTGTCGTAAATCTCACAATACATTAAAGTACTGTTACATACTGTATCTATAAATGCTCCATGCACGTTTGTCCTCAGTAAGGATCTGCAGTGCGTCACATACTGTAAGTAGATGAATAACTCCACTGAGCTAAATGGCCAGACTTGTGACCTTACACTATCACTATAACAGATTGAAGTAGACTTCATTAATGGTCTATTGAATGAAAGGTTGAGATTTATACCACAGGCACAGAAAAATCTGCAGAAGAAAAAAGCTCAACTAGACACATTTCAAAAGAAAGGCAGACGTTGTTTTTGTTTTTTTTTTCAGAAAAGAGATGAAGGCACTGTGGGCTTAATTGAAGAGGATCACATGAAAGTTCTGGCAAACAGTGCTTTTGGATTACTATTGGCATAAACTGTACATCCAAGAAAAACAAAACAGCATGCTTACTGTATATACACAATGTGAAAGTCACAACCCAAGTTGTGTAATATATCATTACCACCATCTAGATAAATCATATTGTAGCTGGTGTCTTTCTCCACTGGAGCAGGAATTACAGACCAAAGCCCCATCCTGTTAGCCTGGATCGTGGTCACCGGTGACCACACCTGTCTCCCCAGTTGACACTTTTTATGTTTAAGATAAATGCAAGATAAACAATGTTTTTTGAAACCGCTCCACAAATTTTCTCACATGCACGTATTCTCCAATATCGTCAAAACAAAACCATAAAGTTTGTTTTCACAGATATGACACTATTATGCAATAAACCAATAAATTAATGAACTAGCAGAATCCCAATAAAAACACCCAGCCAGCACAGCATCTCAATATCATAAATTTTTACCAACAAAACCGCAAAAGCAAAAACCAGCAAATATATATATATATCCCATGTTTTTACCTTATTCTGGAGCATGACATATATCCAAAATAACCCAGACTAGTTTAACTCCAGACCTGGAGACTATTGAACGTTATTGACTTTGTAGTAAATATTTGAAGACCGATAGCTAGAAATAAGGCTATCTGATTGGTAAAAACCACTGTCATTCATTGTATTTTCAGCCATTCAGAGCCCTGAATGAGGGGGTAAGACTTCCTCGCCTGCCTTTTAGCTGTCAATCATTGACTCAGAAGGGGTAATCAATCAGTTTTTTATCTGATCAGTTTCTTATCAGTGCTCCTTTTTTTCACACCAGAAGGCAACTCTGAGTTTTTTTTTCATTGCATAACAGCAGATAAAGGCTCTCTAGCAGTGTCTAAAGGTTTTTATAGCAATTGCAATGGTTATTCTTATTTTCAATATTTTTATGATTTTTTATTGTAGGCGTGAAATTTCATTCCAGGTCCATCACAAAACATAATTTAGATTTTTTTCTAATTGATCAATTTGTCCCAGATTTTTATCCAAGCTAGAAGTCCCCGAGAACAAGGTTTTCAAATCATTCCCAGGCCCTTGATATGCATATAGTTTAAAAATCTGACTTCTGAAGACCAAAAAACCATTTTTGCCTGCTGTTC